TGAATGTTACAATTTTCACTGCAATTTTCACAAAGAATATGAAATTTAGATAATGTCTGACTACAGCTTGGGCATTTGGTGTGAGAGTAGTCTATGAATTTATTGTTTAAATTTATCCAGTTTTTGTTTAGTCTTAACTGTATAAAAAATTTTTTAACATTAAATGAGAGATTTGTCAGCATATAACTATTATTTGATGGGTAATTTAAAATTATTTTATACCAGCTTGTATTATTTCGTTTCTGTATGTCATCGATATCTTGGACAATAGAGATTTCCATTACTCTTTGTATTAATAAATTATTTTGCTGTTCACTGTTGTATGACTGATCCATAAATAGACTCATCGAAAATCCGTATGTGTTAAATATCTTCGAGAGATGTACTAACCAATTCCGTTTTAGATCTGTGATCTTTGATTTTTGATATAACACATTCAGTAATTTTGTTGTTAGATCATCAGCGTTTATAATTTTTTGTAGAAATTTTATGTACCTTTTTATTAATATGGTGTTTAATTTATATCTACTTAGTTCCATTCTTAGAGCACTGCCTGGTATATTGTATTCTAATTGGAAAATTTTGCGGATAAAAGTATTTTGTATTTTTTCGAATTCGTTGAATTTACCTGTAGACCAGATAGGAGATGCGTAACACATCGAGTTAATGATAATTGAATTAAAAAGTTGAAAATGGGTTCTCAGATTCTTTATTTTAGCTTTGCAGAATAACACTATCAGATTATTTATTAAATTTTTTGCCTTTGTTATTGAGCTTTTATATTGTTTGTCAAATGATAAATTAGGCGTGAATGTTATTCCCAAGAATTTAACTTCATTAACAATTTTCAATTCTTCTTTCTTGATATAAAAGCACATGTGTTTTTTGGGTAAATTACTGCCGTTACGAAAAATCATTATAACTGATTTTTTGGGATTTATTTTAACTTTTAAATTTTCCAAGTATTCAGTTATTTGTTGAATTTTCCTGCGAAGTGCAGCAGCCGTTGGAGCTACTAATACAATGTCGTCTGCGTATGAGATTGAATGAATGATTTGGTTATCTATTTGGATGCCGTCTTCATCTCTTAGGAAACATTTGTTTAAGTCGAATAGGTAAAAATTAAAAAGGTACGGCGATAGAGGGTCTCCCTGTAATAAACCTCTATAAGTTATAAATGGTGGCCAGACATTATTATCTTGTTTAATGATCGTCTCGTATCTCCCAAACAACAAACTTATCATTTTAATCAAGTGTTCATCTGCTTTATGTTTTTTCAATTTTTTCTGAAGATCATTTATGCTAATCGAATCATACGCTTTTTCTAGATCTAAGAAAAGAGCAAAGACTTTATGTCTTTTCTTGATTAGTTGTATTTGTATTGATGCCATTAAAACGAATAGTGCAGTTTGGGTACCTCCTCTGTCCACAAAGGCATATCGCGTAGTGTTCCTATAGTTATTTGTGGCTGACCAAATATTAAATTTATCCACTAGAATTGATGTGAATATTTTCCGAAGGTTCGATAACAATGCTATTGGTCTGTAGTTTGAAGGTTCCTCTCTTTTGCCTTTTTTATATATCATTGTAAAAATTAATTCGTTCCATTTATCCGGAATTATACTTTGATTATAGAATTCGTTGAATTGTTTGGTCAAATAACTGATGAGCTCTAGAGGAAATATTTTAATAAGCGAGTTAGGTATCATATCTGGACCCGGTGTTGATTTGTCTTTTAGTTTTTTAATCCGATTCTGAACTTCTTCCACCTTAATTATTTCTGAATGATTCGTTACTTGTGTTAACGTATATTCCATTTGAGTTTGATTATGGCTTATCAAATAATTTTCGGAAAATTCTTTGAAATATTTAATCCACTTGTCGTGTTCTATCCTTGTATATGCACTATAGTCTGATTTCTTTTTGCGAAATCCATTAATTGTTGACCAGAAAACTCTGGTATCTCTTGATTCTGTTAATATCTTGCTAATATTTGAAAAATACTTCTTCTTTTTTGCTTTAATTAAATTTATATATGTTCTTTTATTTTGTAAGTATTTCGTTAAGGATTCTTTTGTGTTAGTTTTTCTAAAGACTTTTAAACTTTTTTGTTTTTTAATTTTTTGGATATAACATGTATTGTCATACCATTCACACTTATATGTTTGCTTGTAGGGACTTAAGCATTTCCCAAATCTGTATTCTTCTAGTTTTGTTGTAAGTCTCAGATAATTCGTAATTGGCTTATTATCTTCCTCTAAAATTAACATTTCATCAATTATATTTTGGAACTCATTTAACAATTTCTGTTTATTGTAAGAAGGTTTATAGTCAATGCTCCATGTATGAAGTTCTTTTTCGATCTTTTTCTCTCTTCTTATATAAAGAAAAAGATAAAGAAAAAAACTTACATTCTGTGCGTGATGAGATGTCTGTACAAAAAGAAGTCTCTGAACAGAAATATTGAATGCAGGAGGTACTTTTCAGTAGATTAATTAAAAAATGCAGCTGGGAGCTTAACTTCAGGGACTGTTTTGAGGGGTAGTAGAGAAAGATTTTTTTTATTATCAGAAATAAGTCTATGATGGAATGCGGCATGGGGGTGCTTTCGGTAGATTAATTAAAGAATGCAGTGGTGTAGTAGAAAAAGATTTTTTTATTATCCGCAAATCAGAGCCGCTTTTTGCTAATTATTTAAAGAAAGCAGTCCCACAACTTACTTCAGAGGACTGTTTTAGGGTGAAAGATTTCTCCCAATAATATTTTCTTTAAAAACTACAGAGATCAGTAAAAAACGCAGTCCGTTATTTTTTTAAAATATATTACGTTTCTACCCAATAATTCCGTTAAGAAATATATTATAAAACCAATCATAATTTTTTTAAAAACTACAGAGATTGGTAATTACCGTATTTTCCTTACCTTTCGTTTCTCCCCAATAATTCCGTTAAGAAATATATTATAAAAACGTCATCCGATAATTCTGTTATTTTCCTTACCTAAATCAATCACATTTTCGTTAAACACTAACACCAAATCATATTTTTTAGGAACAAATCGTTTTTAAACACAATATGCTTCCATGTTAGAACTGAGAATGGCGCGAGTTTTCAAACAAAGAGATAGCACGGGGTTTACACGACCAAGTTCCAGGGTATGATAGAAGGGTGAATCGAATAAAAAGTTATGTTATATTATTAAATTCCGTTTTGTATTATTAAATTCTTATACAAATTAAAATATAATCTACACTGTATGAGTCTTTATTTCGATATAATTTAAAAAAAAATAAAAAATAAAAAGTTGTAATATAGAGGGCGCGAGTTTCGATGTTGTGTTATCGGTTTTTTTATATCAAATTCTCTTTAAAAAAGTAACTTATATAAAATACTAACCAATCACATCTTCGTTAAAAACTAACAGCCAATCATATTTTTCTTTAAGACCAAATCGTTTTTTAAAA